CCAGCTCAGGCAGCCCATGGGTCCTGCCAGCAGTGGGGCCACGACGGAGCATCCCTGCATCCCAGCTGCTTCATGGCTGCCTGGGGGAGCCTGGCAATCCCTAGGCATGGGCAAAGCAGGGGCTCATGCCCCCTCCCCACCCCCATCTCACCCAGGCCCTGGCTCCAGCTCATCGGGCCTGCGCGCTGGAGGCAATTCAGGCCCCATGCCTGGTTTCCATGGAATCCCCATTTGCAATTACATTAAAAAGAAATGAAACCAGCAGCTTTTCTGGTTGGCAAGAAAGGAGAGATGGGTGGGGCAGGGGTGCAGGTCCCAGCCTGGGGTGCCTGTTATGGGGTGGGGAGGGAGGCTGCAGAGGCCTGGCCTGGTGCTGCCAGCGGTGCAGACTGTGCACCAGGGCGCAGAGCTGGGCCCTGGGCACTGCCCCTCTGACAGCACCACAGGGCAGGTGCCCTGCGGGGGCACGTGGTTACCAGGCTCTTTGGGCAGCACTGACTCGGGCATTCGGGAGTGGAGGAAACATAACAGGCTGGCTGGCACAGGCAGGACACTGCTGAGTGGGAGCTCGCAGCTGGGAAGCCCTGCTTACGGAATAGATGCCCTTGGCTGCCCCTGGCGCCGCATCTAGTGAGGTTGCATCTAGTGAGATACCCACTGCACGGCCCCTGGCTGGGCGTTCCCACGGGTGGCCGCCTGCTTGGGGATCGCAGCCCCCGAGGACTCAGGAGCGCAGCCCTTGCTCCCACCACACCATTTCCCCCAGATCTGGGCATCCTCCCCTGCCCCAGTGCCAGGCATCTCACAGGACACCACACATAAAAATATCAGTTTTATTGGAGCAGGTTACTCGCTGGGGTGATGGGTACAAATACATTCTGCCATCTGCACCGCCCAGTCTCAGCCTTGGGGCAGGGGAGCAACACCCCCCAGCCTTATGCTGGTCTGGGCCTCGTCTACCCCAGCTGGGGGCAGGTGCTGGGCATGTGGCCGCCCTGTGGTGAAGGGGAGCAGCTTAGCTGGCCCTGGACCCCACCCTGGCCCCTGCTCCAGCCAGGCTCAGCCCTGGGCTCAGGATCAGGCTCTCCTGCCCCTGCCGGCTGCCAGTGCAGTGACCCCGTGATACCACTGCGGAGGACCTGGAAGCCCAATCCTGCGCCAGAGGAGGCCGCTCAGCACGACTCCCCCCGCCCCCACAGCTCTGTAGCTCTGCTCCAGGGCCTCAGGCTGCACCCCTGCCCTGGGCTCCCCATCCCCAGTGCCCCAAACCACAGCCCTCCCCACCTCAGCCAGCTCCAGCCCCAACCCTGCAGTGCCCCTCACTCCCAAGCTGCAGCCCCTGCTCCCCGCAGCCCTGCCCACCCTTTCCTGCCATGCTGCAGGCTAGCTCCCTCCAACCACTACCCCCAGCCCTGCTGCCCTGGGACTGGGCTCTGGGCCAGAGGCCCCCAAGCACAGGGCCTGCTTGCCAAGTGCAGAGGCCCAGAAGGGACCAGCTGAGGCCAACCTGGACACGCTGCCTCCCCTGGCCCCCCGCATGCTGCCCAGGCACTGCTCCAAAGTGGGTTGCCTTGGGCCCCCTGGTTTGTTCACACGTCCACCCCCGAGATGGCTGGCTGCAAGACCCCAGGGAGGCAGGGGGCATGGAGGGCACAGGGCAGAGCAGGCAGGGGAACATGGACCTGGGCAGCAGGGACCAGGGCTGGGGCCTGAGGGTGGCACAGGGGCAGGCTCAGCTGAGCAGCGTCAGTGCAGCAGGGGCGGCACTCACTGGAAGGGCAAGGAGCAAAGGTAGGACCGGCAAGCACATGGACCTGGGGAGTGGGGGCAGGAAGGCAGTTGGGCAGGGCAGGGCTGGGGCAGTCACGGACAGGCTGTATAGCACATAGTGCCCAGCTGGCATACGCAGCATGAGAGAAGAGGGAGAATATAAAAAATACAAAAGGTCAGGCAGGGCCTGGGGGCACGTGCTGCCGGGGCTCAGGGGATGCCGGGGCCACACACGCTGGGATTCTAACTGGCTTTTTTATTTTATATCAAGAACACTTGGTTTAAAATCTTTACAAAGGACAAAACGCGGCGACTCCGTTAGTGTGTAAAGAACTAAAGATCTGCTTAAAAAACGTCTCTGCAAAGAGAAACGCCCGCACGAAAGAGGTTCTCTGCAGCGCACAGCGGGCAGGGGCAAGCCCGGGGCGGGCACGGCACCCCCTAGCTCCTGCCCAGCCGCTGCGGCTCGGCAAAGTGCGGGCGCGTGTTCCACGGCACTTTGGATGATGGCGAGTTTCTGGCGCCCCTGGGCTCCCGTGGCAGGAGGCGACCAGGGGCTCTGGGCAGCCCCATGTGCCAGGCAGGGTTGCTGCCTGGCATGAGGCCCAGCCTCTGGGAGGCCAACGGACCGTGGGCCAAGGCAGAGGCTCTGCAGCCCCTCGCGTGTGTCCGTTTTGCTGCCGGCGTGGCCAGGGCTCCCTAGCAGGGAGCGGGGCATAAGGGCCGTGCCCCTGCCCTAGGGTCAGTCCTGCTGTGCGGCTCTGGCTGCGCCCCACAACCCCGGCATCAGCGCAGTAGAGTCAAAGCACTTGGAGAAATAAAAAAGAAATGGAGGAAGGAGCTGGGGGTGGCACCAGTTGTCCCCCCCATGCTGTCCGCAGTGCGCCAGCTGGGGCTCTGCTCTGCCCTCTGGGCTGGACAAGCCTGTCCGTGCGCTGTTGGAGTGCCCGGGCCCCCACCCCGGCCCCAGCGTCCGCTGTGAGCGAGCGTGCGTGTGCGTGCGTGTGTGCGCGGGCAGGCGGGCGGCTGGGGAGCTATACCCTGGTGGTGGAGTGTGAGTGGGGGAGCCCAGTGCTGTTGAAGCCAGTGGCGAAGGTGTTGTAGGGGTGCAGGGTCTGCAGCCCCACCAGGGAGTTGGGGATCATGGTGATGGTGTTGGGTGTCATGAGTGGGATGTCGTCTGGCGAGCGGCGCAGGGTCAGCGTGTAGTCAGGCAGCGCGGCCAGGCGCAGGGCATCGTGGGCTGGCACGGGCACTGGCTCGCACTCGCGGTGTGCCTGGCTGGCCTGCAGGGAGGGGATCTCCTCCTCGGGCGTGTGGGCCATGTCGTTGGCAGCGCTGCGCTGGGGGCTGGGCTGGCGGTGTGTGTCTTGCCGGCGCTTGTCCTTGCGGTAGTAGAGGGCAGCAAAGGCCAGGACATTGAGGAAGAGGAGGGAGGCACCCACGGCGATGGTGACACTCAGCTCAGTGGAGTAGTCGCGTGGGTTCTCAATCAGCAGGGTCCCGGCCTCCTGCTCCGGGCTCCATGGCTCCTTGCCGTCCTCACTGTTGTAGGCGGGGGACAGGGCAGGGCGCTTGGTGGTCCAGGCCTTGCCGTTGGGCCGGCGGGTGATGTGGGCGTTCTGCGTGGCGTCGGGTGGCGGCACCTTGGTGGTGGTGGATGTGTAGTGGAACATGTCGTGCAGATTGTACAGGTGCGGCACCAGGTGCTTCCAGAAGGCCACCTTGGTGGCACGGTAGTGGTCGCGCACCCGTGGCTTCAACCCGATGTGCAGGTACAGCTGGTCTCGAGGGTTGTACTTGGACCAGGCCACCTCCTCGAAGCGGTTGGCCTTGGTGTGGATGAACTTGGTGTCCTGGGGCACTGGCTTGTTGGGGTCCCTGTGCACACAGGGCGGGACAGGGTTAGCGGGGAGGGGGAGGTGATGACACGTTGCCCTTGCTGGTGCCCATGACCCACCCCGCCAATGCCGTCTGTGCTGCTACCGAGTCCAGGGACCCCCGAGCACAACAGCCCTGCTCCGGCTGGCGCTGGACAGCTGGGAAGCAGCCAGGGGTCTGGCACTGTCAGCCTAAGCAGACAGGAGACAACAGCTGGACACAGACAGACCGACTGATGGGCAGACAGATGGAGGGAGAAGGGAGCACAGGGACGCTGCAAGCCCGCCTGAGTGGCAGTGGGGTCCGTGCTGGCAGCAGAGCTGTAGCAGGTGTCCTGCAGCATCGCAGCAGAGGCACAAGGAAACCATGGGGGCTTCATGATGGGCTCAGAGAGCTGCCCAGGCTGGAGAGGCAGTGGGATGGCAGCGCCTGTGAGGCACGGGGCAGCACAGGTGAGCAGGAGAAACTGCAGTGGAGACAGGGCTGTGCCCTGAGCAGGGGCCGTGGGGCACATGCCCGGGGCAGAAATGCCCACTCAACTCATGCGGGCAGTGCCTGGCCAGGGCAAGCAGCAGCCGGGGCTGGCAGGAACTTGCCCATCACTGAGAGCTGTGGGGCAGGGCTTGGGCTGCCCAGAAGCAAGGCTAAGCTACACACTGCATCAACCCCACCTGCCCGAGCGCGCCAGAGCCTCCATAGTGCCCCGGCAGGACACAGGCAGGCGGAACCCATGTGCTGGGCCTGGGGAGGAGCCAGGCCCACACGGGTGATAAGGGGAGGCCGGGCCAGGTGGGGGCATGTAACCTGGTGGCTGCGATCAGGGAGGTGAGTGTGCACACACAGATGGGCTCAGGGCACCACACGCACACATGCGTGTCAGCTTGAGGGGACACACATGGACACAGACTGGCTGAGTGGCTCAGGTTTGCTCCCACATGCCCTGGTGCCACATGCACCCACATGTCCCTGCATGAGCCCACCCACACCTGCACACCCAGGTGTGGACCTTGCACACACCCACACGTCCCAGTGCAGAGTCTGCGCACACCCAAGGACCCTGGCTTAGAGCACACACATGCCCCAGCATTCTTCCTGAATATTAGCACGTACATCTCAGCAAGGACCCTGCAGATGCCCACACATGCCCCAGCACAACATTTGCACATGCCCCAGCATGGAGCCCACATGTGCCTGCCCACACCCAGCATGGAGCCCGCAAACACCTGCCCACGCCTGGCACGGAGACCAAACACTGCTCACCCCGTCTTGGCAAAGTTGGTCCAGTAGGTCATAACGACAGCACTGAGCATGATGTCATTCTTGGAGAAGTTGCAGGGGAAGAGGTCAGTGGGGCCGATCATGGGGATGCCGAAGACATAAGGCACCTCGTCGCCATGCGCTGCGTCGGACCAGGCGGGCTTCATGAGGCTCTGGCAGTGGTGATAGAAGGCATAGAAGTAGGTGGGGGAGCCGTAGCGAGCGTGCAGGTCGGCCGTCACCACTGAGGGCTCCACCCACTGGTGGTCGGTGAAGAGTGCCACCAGGGTCTTGCGGCGTGTCTCAGGGTTGTCGCGGTCGGCCCAGTCCGTGTACATGAACTTGATGGTCTCCCGCAACGTGTCCTTGCCCTCAGGGTACCCATACAGATTGTCCACGAAGTTGGAGACAGAGTAGTCGAAGTCGCTGCCCGAGACGCCATCCTCGGGGTCCACCACCCCCTCCACGAACTTCAAACCCTCGCCTTGGTTCACGCCCAGCATGATGTCATAGTTGAGGAACTCGCCCTGCTCCATCAGGATCTCGGGGTCATCAGGGATCACGTCGCCATCAATGACGGGGCCGAAGGCCACATGGTAGCGCGCCGGCTGGATGTCCTGCTCCACCAGCTCCTTGGCACTCTTCTGGCGCAGACAGTCCACCATGTCCACCGTGTCCAGCACATTGCAGCCCACCTTGTCTGCCAGCATGCTCGTGTACTTCACTGGCTGGTAGTTCACGGCCCAGCTGGAGAGTGCCGAGCCGCTCTGGATGATGGCCCTCTGGAACAGCCCTGCAGTGAGACACAAAGCAGCCCACAGGGTGAGAGCCAGAGCACAGCCAGGTCCCGGCACAGCATGGCCAGCTCTAGCTAGCTCCCCAGTCCATGCAGCTGGGGCAGCTGCTCAGAGCCCCATATGCATGGAGGGGCATCCCCCGAGGGCTCAGGAGTGAGAGCTGGGCCTCTGAAAATGCCCTGGAGCAGAAGCGGAAGCAGGGATGGGGCATTGCCTGCCTCTTTCACTGGCACCCTTGGCTGGGCCCAGTAAGACAAGCTGGGGGGACCCTTCTCCCAGCACCGGAACCCAAGCACAGTCTGCACAGGTCACAGGGGGGGCAGGGGGGCCAGCGGGAGCCTCTGTGAGCACCAGGCTGCAGGAGGTGCATGCTTTTGGGGGGCCTGTTGGTGCTGCAGCCGGAGCCAGGCTGCATGGGGCCACGCATCCAGGTCTAGATGGCATCTGAGCCATGTGGGGCAGAGGGAGCATGGGCACCCCCAGGGTGCAGGGGGGCAATGGGCCCATTGCTTGGGCCACCCTGACCCACCACTGCCCCCAAGTTGTGTGCCCCAGGCAAGCAGGCACCGGCGCCAGGCAGGGAGCAGCTATGCCCATGCTGGGCCTATGTCCAGGAGGCCCCAGGATCCTGGGGGGGGGGCAGCCCCTGGGTGAGCAGCATACTAGCAGCCTGAGGGTTAATGCTGCCAGAGCTGGTTAACCCTGCGCATCCCACTGAGGTGCTTTGTGAGGGCTTCCCCTGGCTGCCCGTGCTTCCTGCCCAGCTGGGCCCACTCCGTGCCAAGGCCGCCTGGCAGGAACACGCTGGCCCGGGCACAAAGGGGCCTTTCTGCGCGGGAGTGCGGGGGGGCAGGCGCGCGCCCTGCGGAGCCGGGCCACAAAGGCCCTGGCCCGGGCACAGGAATGCGTGGCCAGGCTCCAGCTCCGCCTCAATGGGGCTTGTGCAGAATACAAAGGGCTCCGGAAACAGTGCTGGGGATGGACGGGATGGGACGGGACAGGCGGGGAGCACCGGGGCTCCCCCTGCCGGCTGGGCCCACGCCCCACGCACAGCCTCCACACCCTCCCGGCCCCCTGCCGAGGTCCCGAGCAGGCTGGCAGGCGGAGCACTTCCCACGCGGCAGGACCTCACTGCTGCCGCACTCGGCGCCACACTGCTCCCTGGAGCCATCCAGGAAGCCCCCAGTATCTGCCGGGGGCCCTGGTGCCCATGGTGCCAGGTCCAGCCCCACCTGCCCAGCACAGGCACTGCTGACAGGGTAGCCTAGGGCCCTCTGCCTTTGCCTGGCCCCGGCAGCAGGGAATCCACCTTCTCTGCAGCCGGCCTCGAGGCCAGCCAAGCTGGCCGTGGCAGTGCCCAGGAGCAGGCCTCTACCCGGTCACATCCACGTGTTTGAGGCCTGGCCAGTCATGGCAACCCCTGCCCTGGAGGTCTGTGAGCCCCAGCTGCTGCCCCGCCACTGCCCAGCCCTTGGGCTCTGCAGGGCTGCTTCTGCCCAGGGCAGCTGTAAAAAGCAGACGCATCGTGGGTGTCTTGGGAAAGAGCTTGGCGGTGACAGATGAAAGCATGGGATGCAGATGGCGCAGGTCCTGCCATGCTCCTCCAGTGTGCAGCACACCCTCCCCTGCTGGAGCTGGAGCCTGTGAGCGCGCTGGGCACATGCAGGCTCTGGGAAGCAGGGGCGGAAGCAGGAGTGGCATCAGTGTCCCAGGCGGGTGTCAGTGCCTGGCAGGAGGCAGCCTGCAGCCAGAGTTGCCCTCCAGGGGCCCAGCACAGCCCCAGGCACCGACCTGCCTCCAGGATGCTCCATGCCAGAGAGGCCCCATGCTCACCAGCCCCAGGCAGGCTGCCCGCACACCGTGCACATGGCCCCTGGGGCACAGAGATGCCTTCCTCCTTACTGGGCTCCCCTCCACTACCTGTGCACAGCCCTCATGCCATGTGCCCACGGTGCATGTCTTGCACACCAGCATGGAGGCAGTGCTGGCTCGACACAGCCCTGCCCCTGGCCCATGCAGCATTTGCACATGTGCGTGGAAACAGCCAACCTGTGTGACTCCCGCCCTGCACGTGCCCTGCCTATGCCTGCTTGAGGGGAGCATGCCCCCCGTCAGCCAGCACTGGGGGACCCCGGGAATGCCCAGCAAAGACGGGCCAGACCAGAATGGCACATCCCCAGGTCAGCCAGCCCTGGGGAATCTCTCCTGAGAGGACAGGAGCTGTCTGATGCTCATGGAGAATCCTGGAGCCATGGGGCTGGCAGGGACCTCCAGAGGTCAACCTGTCCATGAGGCAGGATCAGCCGTGCAAACTCAGCGTCCAACAACTAGCAACATTACACAGTCAGCCCTGACGCAACACCTGACATCATGCCCACACCTGCCATGGGGAAAGCAGGGGACCACGGTGGCCAGCACCCTGCTACTGTGAAAGGTTGTTAATAGACACTCGAGTGATCCCAGGAAAAGGCCATGCCCCGCTACAGAGGAAGGCAAATTCTACCCTCCTCCTCCTGCCCCCCCAGTCTGATCAGGGGGTAAAGTTCCTTCCTGACCCCAAATCTGGCATTGGTCTGACCCTGAACACAGGGGCAAGCCCCTCTAGCCAGGACCCTGTGGAGTTGGTGCCAGCAGGAGCACTGGCACAGCCCAGTCCCATCCTCAGCCTGGGCTGCAGCAGCACCCAGAGCCTCTGGGGAACACTAAAAAACCCTTGACACATGGAGCAATAGGAGGGGAAAGAATTCTCTCCCAGCCCCACGTGCAGTCAGCAAAGCCCAAAAGCCTGGGGAATCCCCATGGTAGAACATAGGTATCCCTATGCCTAGATCACCCCGACCAGTGGCTGTCCAAGTGCCTCTCAACGTCTCCAGTGATAAAGTCCACTGCTTCCCTGGCATCTATTCCACTGCCTGGCTATCCCTGCAGTGAAGTTTCTCCTGATCTCCAATCTAACCCTCCTTTGTTGCAACTTCAAGCCACTGATCCGCATCCTCCTCTCTGCAGCAACACAGAAAAGGTACTTTCCCCCTTTTTTTTTTTTATGGCAGCCCTTCAAGTACTTGAAGACTGCTGTCATGAACCCTCTTAAGTGCCTTTTCCACAAGCTGAACATGCCCAGCTCCTTCAGCGTCTCCTCTATGACTCGCTTTCCAAGCCCTGGATCATCTTTGTTGCTGCCTCTGGACCCTCTCCAACTTCTCCATGTCCTTTTTAAAATGTAGAGCCCAGAACGGTGCAGTGTCTGGATGAGGCCTAACCAGTGCCGAGTAGAGAGGCATGATGATTACCTCCCATGTCCTGCACCTGATGCAACTGTTGATATCTCCCAAAACTGCCTTTTGTGTGGCTGCATCACACTGCAGACTCCTATCAAATCTGTGATCTCCCAAGACTCCCAGACCCTTCTCCAAGGGACTGCAGTCACCTCACTAAGACCCAGGGAGTGTGCTGGGTGCCTCCAGCTGTGCCACCTCTGCACAGCCCATCCCATCCCATCCCATCCCAGGTCAGCCAGTACCATCACAGCTCCACACAGAGCCTGGTACTGCAGGACCCTTGGGACAGGCCAGGACAGCTTGGGCCGAGCTAGCTGCAGGAAGCGCTTGGCCCTGGTGTAGAGCTGCAGGCCTGGGCATGGGGCTGCAAGGGCAAAGGGAATGGCTGGGCCCTAGCAGACACCGTGTTGCGCAGGCCCTTGTGCAGAGACTGTGCCATGAGGGTTTGCCCCAGAGCTCCCCTCAGAGTCTGGCTCAGCACCTTGCAGCTCTGACCCCTGGCAGCTGCCAGCTGGCTCTGGCCCCAGCTTGTGTCACTGGCCCTTGGGCTGACCCTGCCCTCCCTCCCCGGTGTTGCTGCCAGCAGACACCCTGCCCTGCACACCCCATCTCACAGTGCAGCCTGCTCACACATCTTGGGAGCCTGGCCCTGCCCTGCCAAGCCAACCTGGCCATCGCCTCTGCACCGCCGAGATCATTACTCCTGGACACGGGTATCAGACTGGACACAGAACCTGGCCCGGTCTCTCCAGGGCTTTGCAGGGTGGCATGCAGTGGTACACGCCATGCACCACTGGACACGACCGACTTCCTCTGCCAGTCTGCACTCCCCAGCAGTGTGACTTGTGCTCCCTGCATGCACCATGGCCGGCAGAGCACTGCCCAGGGCAGGACAGAGCCAGGTTGTGTCTCTGCCCCTGCCCCTGCCCCTGCCTGCCAGCCCAGTGGGGCCCTCATCTGTCCCTCCCGCTCCGTGCCCAGCGGAGCACAGGGCACCTACCTTCAGAGTGGTGGGACAGGGTGAGCAGGCTGACGCAGGAGGCGCCAATGCCGGAGCCGAAGACAGTGATGCGCAGGGGGTCCCCCCCGAAGAAGGCGATGTTCTCACTGACCCAGCGCAGTGCCTGGATCTGGTCCAGCAGCCCGTAGTTCCCCTTGGCAGCCTGGTCCCCCGTGCTCAGGAACCCTGGGGGTCACGCAGAGCCTGTCAGCAGCAAGGCACGAGCCTGAGGGCTCTGCTGCCTCCTCCAGCCCTCGTGCGTGGCCCGACAGCCTGCAGCACCCCACTAAGCTGAGGCTCATCCAGGCAGTATCTGGGAGGGTCCCCAACTGCAGTGGGCACCGCTGAGCCTGACCCGGGGCCGCAGGGACACACACAGGGCAGCAGGACTCTAGCCTGAGCCACTTGCCCTAGGCCCGACGCCAGCTGCCCTGGCAGGCCCAGGCTCCCTGCCCCTGCCAGGGGAGAGCAGGAAGCAGAGGCCCAGTGGGAGCAACTCCAGATGCCTTGGCCCGGCAGCCCTGCCCTGAGCTGGGACCTCACGGCACGGCACACCCTGCCCTCCCCTGCCCTGCCCAGCCCTGCCCAGCCCGGCTGGTACCTAGCACGCCGACGCGGTAGTTGAGGGTGATGACGATGACGTTGCCGTAGCTGGCCAGGACACTGCCGTCAATCATGTTGCCGGTGCCCTCCATGTAGGAGCCACCATGGATGTAGACCATCACGGGCTTGGCCCCACTGTCCCGGATGTCTGCAAGGAGATTGGGTTACACATGGCACCCACCACGCCATGGCCGGGGCAGTGCCAGCTGCCAGGACCGGGGGCAAGGGGCCAGCTGTGCTCTGCACTGTCCCTGCCGTGGAGGGAGGGCAGTGTCACAGCCTGAGCCACGGGCCCCCCAGGCCTCCTCCCTGCCCTGGGAATGGCCTCCTCCCCCTGCCAGTGCTGTGGCAGGAGGGGGTGGCTGGGGCTGAGCCTATGTGGTGATGCTGCCCCAGGTCCCGGCCCTGCCCCGTGGCGCCCTGGCAGCTGGCCCAGCCCTGGCGGGGGGGTGCAGGATGGGGAGGCAGGGGCTCAGGTGTCTGACCGCCCAAGGACAAGAGGAACCAGCCTGCACCGCACGAGGCCCGTGCCCGGCACCAACGCCCTGGCAATGGGCAGACAGACGGGGAAGGGAACAGGGTATCCAGGTGGGATTGGAGCAGGGATGGAGTGAAAAGGCAGCAGGAAGAGGAGGGTTAGGCACAGGCGGGGGCTGAAGAACACCAGGCTCAGGCTCCCTCTCGTCTGCTCATGAACCTCTCTTGGGACCCCGGCCCCAGCCGAGCGCAAGCCAGGGGCTCACAGCTGCTGCCTGCGGAGGAGGGGTGCTGGGGCTGATGCTGCAGCAGCGAGGGCCCCACTCTCCGGGCAGCCCCAGGGCTCCCGCTATGGGCACTGGGGTCCAGCACAGGGGTCTTGGCTGTGCCAGGAAGGGGGCAGAGGTACCCAGCGCCAGAGGCAGGAGCGCGCCACGTCTCAGCACAGCAGCCCCTCGGTCACCAGCCCGGCCCTGCGGTGCCTCCCCAGAGCCTCTGCTGCCATCCTGGCACCGTGGCCGGCTGCAGGGTGGCCCCTGGGCCCCACAGCCACTGGGCCGCCTGCCGGCCCACACACACCTGCACCCAGGAGCATGGCAGGACGTGCCTGGGAACACGTGTACTGCCCAGCACTGCCCATGTGTCCACAGGCCTCGCCACATGTGCATGCACCGGAGGTGATGGCCAGTGCCCAGGGTCACCGGGACAGGACCAGGGATAGTGGGGGGCTGAGGGGCAGGTGCTTGAGGCTTCCCAAGTGAAGCAATGCCTGCCGGGGGGTCCTGTGCCTCAGCATCCCACACCCCCTGGCTCCCAGTTCTGGACCAGCCCCCAGGCCACTTGGCCTGGCCCGTGCCGGAGCTGCGCTTGCGGGAACCTGCCTGCTTGCTAAACCTCCGTGAGGAGCCCCAGCCTGACTGCACTGTTCAGCAGCCCTGGCCCAGGCCCAGCCCAAGCTGCCTGAGGCCCATCCAACCCCAGCACCAAGGCTTGCTCCGAGCCAACGGGTGCTGCGCAGCCCAAAGTGCCCCGGCATGGCCCTGCACTGCCCAAGGGCCCTGTTCCCCGCCCTGCTTGGGAGTAGCTCACACCGGGAGATGGCCCCAGGCCTGCCCCTGCCTGCATTCGGTCACCTCTGCCCAGCCTGGCCTGGCTGATGCCCCCGGCTCGAGTGCCAACATCATGCCCTGCCCGCAGCGCTCATCCAGCCCTGCTGCCTCTGGGCCCCACCAGTAGCGCTGTGGGGTCACATGTCCTGCAGCCCTGGGCCCATGCCCACCCCCGCCCCCAGCCTTTACTCCCTGCTAGCCATTCCCGGGGCAGTTGCAGCCCTGGTGTCATGGCTGAGCGTGCAGGGGCAGTTGCAGCCCCCTGGGCCCAGCTGAGCTGCTGCAGAGTCCGGAGGAGACCCCTAGCTGGTCCCTGCTCCTAGGGCACCCCTGTGCCTTCACCTCACGGATCCCATCGGTGCCGCCACCCATGAGGACAAGCACCCAAGGGCAGTGCCAGCTGGCCTGGCAGCCAGGCCTCAGCAACTGCACCTTCTCCCTTGGAGAACTACAGCCACATACTGGGGGGGTCTGCCCTGCCCTGCCCCGCCCCGCCCCTCCTCTCCCCTCCCGGTGCCCAGCTCCCGGCTCCACTGGGGCCTCACCGGTCAGCTCCGTACAGCAGCACGCCTGCACACAGTGGTCCTGGCCCCGAGAACTGCACCGACTGGTGCCTGCGGCTGTCTTGGGCATGATGCTTGCGGGAGGTGCACCCGACAGCAACAGCGCAGGAGCCCCAGCACGCCAGGATGCACAGGCTGGCCCTGGGACACCCCCTGGCAGCCAAATGCATGGCCAGCACAGCCCTCCAGCTGGCTACTGGAGCACCAGACCCGATGCCAACACGGTACCAGACCTGGCTGTGCTGCCAGCCCGTGGTACCGCACAGCACAGCCAAGCACAGGAGGCAGCGAGTGTGCGAGCTGGGTGGGCGGCCCCAGGCTGGGCCACGCTTTGCCGCCTAGGCTGGCGGGTCCTGCTCTCCACACTGTGCAGGACGAGGGGGGATGGCAGTGGTGGGGATTGGAGGGGGGTGCCTGCTCACCGCAGGCATTGCTGGGTCAAAAAGGGGTTCAAGGTGAGCCGGGCCGGGCCGGGCCAGGCGGGGTGCGGTGTCGGGGCCTGCAGGCCATGCCTGCACACAAGG